TGTGTTTGTGGTTGTGTGTTTGTGGTTGTGTGTTTGTGGTTGTGTGTCTGTTGTTGTGTCTTTGTGGTTGTGTGTTTGTGGTTGTGTGGTTGTGTGCTTGTGGTTGTGTTTGTGTTTGTTGTTGTGTTTGCGGTTGTGTTTGTGGTGGTGTTTGTGGTTGTTTGTTTGTGGTTGTGTGCTTATGGTTGAGGTCCAGCGGTGCACACCGCGATCGGATCCTTGCCGTTGAGGTCCAGGGGTGCACACTGCAATCGAATCCTTGCGGTTGAGGTCCAGGGATGCACACTGCGATCGGATCCTTGCGGTTGAGGTCCAGGGGTGCACACTGCGATCCGGAGCTGGCCAGACAAGGTCGGCGAAGCAGATTGGCGAAGCAGATTGGCGATGAAGATTGGCGATGAAGATTGGCAAGGCGATGAAGATTGGCGAGGAAGGAAGCAGGAAGGAAGGAAGGAAGGAAGGAAGGAAGGAAGGAAGGAAGGAGGAAGGAGGAAGAACAACTGTGATAAAATCTAACAACCCTCACCTGGCAGGTGGGGAATTATTACCTAATAAGGCATCACCATCTTGCACGATTGAACTAAAGGTCATAGCTGTCTTGTTACTAGTAGCTTCTTGTTCCTAGTAGTAATGCCAGGAGCTACTAGTAGCTTCTTGCTACTAATAGCTATGCCCTTGTTACTAGCTGCTAGCTTTATTTTTAAGGCATCACCATCTTGCACGATAGAACCGAAGAACTCATTTCCAAGTGGGCCAAACGTGTTCCTTGATCGCGCCTGTGCTGCAGCTGCCCAGCTGCACCGAGAACAGCGGCACTGCTCCATGTGAGGGGCCATAACCAATATGTTCCTTGTCCCTTGCTGCTTCCAAAGAGGAGTCGTGTGGAGGCTCCTAATTGTGTAGCAATCGGCAATCTAGTGCATTGGACTGCTCTGCATATGCCTCTCACTTCCAAGGCAGAAGATGCAGGCTTGCGGCTACACAAGACTTGCGGGTCTGTATGGCATGTCGTTTCCTTCTGGCTGTGCACTCCCATTTGCATCGTGTTCAGTCAAACGCAAGCGACGCAAGGATGCCTTCACTCCAAAGGCACACGGCTGTTTTGTTCCACGATCAACCTCCACCATTGGAGCACGCAGCTGAAAATCCCACCAACAATCCTGCAGTGGAATTCGCTACAACCGCATGATTGAGAAGAAAGGCATCAAAAAAACCATGCTAAAGCCAATGCTTATGCAGATGCTTTGAGTAGCTGAGTAGCTGTTGGAACGATTTGAACAGAAGAACCTTCCACGATCAGAGTTGGATCGCGCCTGGCGGATCTAGCTGTGGCCAACCCAGTCACGTGCTACGTTCATGGTCAGCTCTTGATCACCTTGGGACACTCAGAGTTAAACGTCGGCGCTTGATTAATACCCCCCGCCTTTTGGCTTGAAACACCTCTTCATCTGTTTTTTACTAATCCAGAGTCTACATTAGTAGCACAAGCTCACATCAAGCATTGGCCTGACAGATTTGCATGCAAGGCACGAGCTCTCACGCATGAAAACACATCGAAAGCGCCAAACCCCTGACCTGTGTGCTTAGATGCTTTCCTGGCTTTAGGTGGATGCCCGTCTTTAGGTGCCCTTCATCTATCTTCCCTGAGGTTGTCTTGGAGCCCATGAGACGACTCACTGCTTTTCTCCAAGTTTCGGATTGGCCACTTGGGGGCGGCCTCTCCGAACTTCACGGGATCCTCGACAACCTCACGGCACCAGACGGGCGGAGCTGAGCGGACCGATGGTGCCAGGGGCCGAAATTGACCATGCCACGGATTGGCAGAGACCCAAGCCGTAAACCTGACGTACAAACAAACCCGGTCAAAACTGTTTGGTCCACAGGATGTACATCTCCATCTGTGTTTTCAGTGGCCGCCCAGGAAACACCAAAATAAACGTGGAACATCTGATTTTTGAAATATGTCAATAGCAAAATACATGAACATATCGATTCCGCAAATGAATATAACGTTCCTCTCATGGCGCTGCTAATCCGTTTCCATGATGGTCTGTCATGTCGGCATTTCTCATAGATACTGCCCATCGGCCGAAACCGTCATCGCCTGGGCATCTGGATATGCTTCCTTCATGGCTCTCATGGCTTCGGCTCGCTTTGGAGAATTTGCAAAGACCTCAGTTGCGCTTGGATGAGGACCAAATATCACATCGATTTGAATGGCCAAACTGGTATACAGTGATCATGTCATATGAGTCAATGGTCAAAAATTGTTACGGTGATGCAGGTCATCAGGATTTGGTGAGTGTATTATCATTGTTCATGTTCGTCATGTTACATTGTTTTTGGTGAGTGTGTCGTCGTTTTTGAGCAAAACGTGAATTTTGAAATCTGGCGTGTTTGCTCGGCCCCGGCCCAGCTTGGTTTTATCAGATCCGTTGGTTGTTGTTTGGTCGAGCCCAGCTTGGTTGCATTGCTTCCGTTGGCTGGGCCTCCGACTGCTGTGTTGGCTCTCCGTCTCAGCGAGCCTCCTGTGCCAAGGGAGGGATTGAAATATCAGAATGAACGCATGTGCCAAGTGTTCTGTTGTTGTCCAATCCCACGCTTTGACCAAAGCTTGATCAAATTAACTCTTGCAACGGGTTACCTAGGATTAATTGCCCTGCCCTACTCTTGGAATCTCTTGGAATGAACACGTTCTTTCCTTTTCTCACGTTCATCAACCTTCATACGAGTCCCCAGGTTCCCCCAACAAAAGAAAAACACACCATTGCCATGTAAGTCCCATTACTAGTTGGCATGTCCTTTTCTAGATCCAATCAGCAGGGGAACTCCAAGGGGAACTCCCTGTCATGTTGCCCCCCAAAGACCCAACTGTCAGCACTACCCGTCGCTTCTGAGCAAACTCACAGCTTTGAATGTGACTCACCAGTGATTTCAGTTTTGGAAACAAGAAACCCCTATAGGTCACTATCTAGCCAGAAAAAGAGGATCTATGTTAACACCAATTATTCTTTGACAGCATGCTTAACATGGCAAAGAACACACCATAAACAGCATGGTCGTTTTCACAACATGTTGCGGAAGCAACATGCGGTAACATGCGCCTCACATCCTCACAAACCTGGACTTGAAACCTTGTTTGTCGAGGAAAGGAGTCTCGCAGATAGGTGGATCTTAGCATATAGTCCTTTTAGGAAGCCGTGGAATGAAAAGAATAGTTGGTGACTTTGTGGCTCTCCTGCTGCTATTCGTTCATCATAGAACTGCAGAAGATCCTTCATGGAAATCTGTCCAATCAAAGCAGCCTTGCGAGGAGTTGCGGATGGAGATGCTCAAAACTGGTGGACAAGACTGCTGGAGTTTCATCCCCTGATGCTCAGTCCATTGCAGCTTCAGGGTTTGTGACTAAGGGACCTCAGCCTTTGTCAATGCCAATGGCCGGACTAGGTCCTTGTCTGAAACAAATGAAAAAAGCGCACCTCCTCCTCTCGTCGACGCCAGTTGTATTGAAAGCCTGCAAGAGGAAATAATAGGATGAAACTACCACCGTTTTGTCGATAAGAGGAACTGCTGGAAGGCCACTGATTTTAGATGCTCCTTTGCACACCCATTATGTCTTGGACCTACACGGCCTTGGAAAAGAAAGTGCAATGCCAAAACTCGCTCAAATGGCCTACCGAATACTAAAGTGATCTCTCTTCCTCATCGCACTCCACACCTAATGTAATTGCCATCAGTTCTGCAGAACAGCTGAGTATAAAGGGCACCCTGAGTAAATCGAATTAACTTGAATAAACAGGTGTTCTCTTGTTGAACTGCCAATCCCAACTCCCACATGGATTCCACCGCGTCACCAGTGGACCACGTCCGGACCGAGGACGGCCTGCGATTTCTCCGAACCAGCGGCCCGTCTCCGAGGCCAAACGTTGATCAGGACGCAGCAGCTCCTCTTTCAGCGACGCCTTGAATGGCTGCAGCTGTCCTTGGAGTTTGAAGAAAGAACAATAGTGGCAAATGCAGCTCATCCAGCATGAACATGGCATGATGTCTTTCATCCAAGGTAGGCTACTGGCTAGACGAATGGCTTCAGAAGTGCAGAGGTGCAAAGTGCTTTTATCCAAGTTAGTGACTTATAGACTTCGGTTGCACAAATGTGAACCCTCTACTCCTTGGACGAGCATTGCGTTACAACTGTACTACAGGTTGACCGGCGAGGATTCTGTAGTAAACCATTTGGGTGTGTATTTTAATAGGAGACCCCCTGGCCCAAAGGGTTTGGTTAATTGCCCTTCTTCCACAGGGAGTCTGTGTGGGGTCTCCCTATTTGAGCGACACACCCAATATAATTTGTTTAAAGAAAAGTAAGTATAGAAGAAATACCTGTTCTTTTCTCCAACGCAGCTCGGAGACCATCTGTAAGCGAGGCCAACCTCGGTCTGACAAAAGCAGCTTTGTGCAACTACATGCCCCAGTGGATCCCAGTTACCACTATGACTATATAAGGAACCAGGGTTTCTAGGTCTACGGTTTTAGCCTTGGGAGCCACTGGTTACCTACTATGGTGGTAACTGGATCCACTGGGTGCAATTGCAACCTTCCAGGTTTGGTCTTGGGTCTCCTTGCAAATCCTGGAGCCATTTGACATGTCCTCATTTGCAGGCGAAGATGGCGAAGGGTACAATGAACACTTGGGCATGACCAACCATGCCAATGTACATCAGAAGGGCTCGGCCAAGAGCACATTCTATTGGGAGGTGCCCCGCTGCAAACTTGGTAGTCTGAGAGGGAGTCTAAAAAGGATGTCATGAGTAGGTTTTGAAAACGAACCTGAAGCATTCTGAAGCAATTCTTACGGTATAACATGGTAAAACAATGTAAAACAGCTTGGCAGAGTGGCTTGGCCCGGAATGACACCAGGAATTCATCCACGGCTTGCAGAAGTCCTCTTGGATCACGAACGCTGCTCCTTAGATCGGCGAATGAGAACGAACTTGGCAAAAACCGGATTCCCCGCTTTGTCTCCGACTCCGGCCTATCCAAAAACCTCCAATCGTCAAATGTCAAGTGATGCAAACATGGTCAAACCGATCGAGACAGCACCTTGACCTCCTTCTCAATATCGGCTGGTCGTCGCGTTCACCTTTAACTTGATGCTTGCTTCTTGATGCTTCACCTTTAACTTGACTCTCCTGGTGGGGGGGTTGGTCCTTTCGAGACAGGTCTCTGCACAATAAGTAGAACGCGAGCAAGATTGCCAATGCGGTCGGATTGAGACTGGACAATGTAGCCTGGATCGCAAAAGCATAAACATACATAAATTATGAGTCTGCTGACATCTCGTCGCTTCTGCACTGGAACGAAATGCAAACATTGTGATCTCCAATTATACAATCATACCTTGACCAAACCTATGTACGGTATAATGTATGCATGATTATGCATGGCTTTCTCAGCTTTCTCACCACTCAGGACCATGCAGCCACATGCGGCAACCGGCACTCGCTCGCAGAGACCATGGCAAAACAATATGTGACAACATTTGCTCAAGCACAATGAACTGAAAACAAAACAAAGAAAAAGGGTCGGCCGAGGCCAGTTTCGGCGATCAGTTTCCGTTCCAAAAAAGACAAAGGATCGATCTATAAGACGCCAAGTCACCCAATTGTTGCTGCGTCCTTATGCTGTCGTAGAAGGGAGCCTCCCGTCGGTCCGTGACCGTTGACGGAGACGGCAGTCTCCGCAGATCGATCCACTCCAAACACAATGCCACTAGCATCATGTAGCCTCCTCAAGCAGCAATAAAGAAACTCCATGCAACTCCTATTGAGATCTATTAAGTACACTTTGGACTAAGTAGGCTCGATCACCACAAATGGTCCAAAAGAGCACCTTTTTTCAGTGAAACATGAATGCATGACCAATGCATGACCGATGTCTGTCGTGACCTCTCATTCCAGTAGGGTGCCAGGTCTTCCATCCATCCCAAACCCAGCTGTTTAGATCGCTCGCACCTTCATCACTCGGTCTAGGAGGTTACTATGCAAGCCGTCGAGGAGTTCATCGCCGGTCCAGAAGAGGGACACCAGCCTCGGAGAACGACACGACGGGAGATGGCTCGAGATGGATGTTGTTTGCTTCGGAAGAACTATTTTGAAATGATATGACATATCAATGAAATGTCATGTAAGTGCACAGCGACAGAGACAAGCAGTCACACCAGCCAACATCCTTGTTTCTACACCAGCAAAACCTATAAAGCACCTGCTCTTTCTTGTATAGACACAAAATGGCTCAACCATGCCACATTGATTCCATTTGATTCCAGCTCGAATGGAAAATTCAACGCGCCAGGACATGGTTTGTGTTGTTGGTGCTGTTTTCTTCTTGCATGTGCACATTCCGGCATATTCTGAGCCGAATTGAAACCGATTCAATCCGAGCTGCGCATGGTTCGTTTCCTCTGGATTTGGCTCTGGCTGAACCTGAAGTATCTCCTCACAAGCCGTCTGAGTCATAGCTGATTCGTTCTTCCAGTCAACAGAAAGGCGCAACGCGTCATAACCGAATACACATTGGCTCCCAGATGCGCTTACCATTGAATGTTTTGTGACGCTTACCAGGATTCCAACCACCAAAGGATTATGTTGAAAAGGAAAACATAGGCCACAACATGCCATAACATATCATCACTGACTACTTGGCGGGTGGTATTCCCCACTACCTGCCGTCCTGGCCCGGCTGCAGCTTCGCAAAGCGCGAGCGCAAAAGGCCTTCAGCAGTGCCGCCCTTCAGCGCACCTGCGCGGTCTCAGTGGCTGGCATGTCTTCATGTTGGCCTGATGAAGTGGAGAATGCTGAAATACACAGTGTGACAGCTAGTCCTCAAAGACATCCCCGTAAAGAACACACACGGTATATCACGGTTCCCACTGGGACAACTGTGAGATTTTGGACACACGTCCCGCGACCCACGTCGACCCACGGTCCCGTCTCGCAGGCTGCCAGGTGTTCTACTCGCATGGACCGTCGTGTTCGTCGGACTCGGCCGTCATGTTCGTCGAGTGCCTTTAAAGGGCAACACATCGAAGGTCTCCAAAATGCCCTTAGCAGCTTCCACGCTCAGATTCCCAATGATCAATGCCTGACACAGGAGAGCGGGTATCAAAACTGGTGGTCTTGTTCGGGTCTCCTTGCAAGCAGCTATCCAAAACACGTACGAAATCTTACGAATATATTCGTGACGGTGCCTTCGAGCTTCAATGTGAGTTCTATATTGGACGACCATACACTGTACACATTGAAAATACTCAACCTCAAACCTGCACGTCCAATGTCATTAGATTCATGCACCAAGTTTGGATGATCTCATCTCCACAAGTCAATCTCCCTCCATCTCCAGCCGAAAGTTCTGCCTGTCCGAAGAAGCTCTGCTCCTTTGCGCGTAGCAAGGCCGAGAAGTTCCGCACCTGCTCCAGGGTCACGCGCTTTGTGGCTGCACGCAGCTCCTCCACAGGGTACTCCGGGATGTAGGTGGCCAAGCGGGAGAAGTAGGCCGCATGAGCGTAGGGTTGTTGGAAGTCAAACGAGGCCTGCTTGGTTGAAGTGTGGAAGAAGCTGATCATGTTGCTGCGTTGAAACACGCGAAATATGCTGGAAGCCGAATCAAACCAAACATGGGAAAATGATGGAAAAAGGGGGCTGAGTGCAAAATTGGTTTGCGGGTGATTCGCCAAACCGGCGCATTCAGCACGTAGCATCGCGCTGCCCGGCAAGGGAACAAAGTCATGCAGTGTATCAACTTTTACACCACCTCTGAATCCTGTACAGTAGACTTGCATGAGACAGTAAACTAGACTGTATGCATCTGTATGCACTTGCTGTTCATGCTGCTTTGCAGGCTAGGAACCCACACGCGCATCGTGTGTTCTTCGATTGATAAAAACACACGGCAAACCTTAATGGATACAACACCTTGTGATACAAACCACAATGCTATCGATTGATATTTGGGTCAATGTCATTCAATGTCAACAACGACTGATAAATGGAGTCCACTCCACTTTGCCGCTTTGTCCCTGGTGAAATCAAAACACTGAAACTATCTGAAATTCAAATTGCACCTGGCACAAGCAAAACAAGGGGCTCCCACTTGTTGATAGTGCCCCGCCTGCTCCCGCTTGAGCGCATCCAGTGCTCGCGCAAACTCACTTGGGGTCGGCCCATCGAAGTCGCGGATTTTCTGCAGGACCTCTTGGACGAAGAGCAAAAGCTTATCCTCGCAAGTCGTCCTTTCGACGTACGAGGTGCCTTATTGGGTACCACTCTCTGCATGAAGGAGCCTCTAGAGAATGTGGAGTTTGGAGATCATGTCTTGCCATAAGCAAATGTCTGTCAAAATAGAGTGATCGATGGATGCTCCAAGCAGTGGAGGAATGTTCCGCCACTCTGGTTCCAAGCCCCCCTGCGAAGAAGTGCGCAGTGCACAGAGATGCGTCTTACATTGTCTTACAAGAACACTCACTAGAAAAACCAGACGAAACAAACAAACGTCAAGAGACATCGTCGACTGATCTCACAACCACAAGCACTGCATACTGGCGAAGCAAATGCAGGCTTCTTCCCAGACCCGGCGCAAGAAATGATGCGCAAAGGGTCCCCAAAACAAAGCACTGGAGGAGTCCACAGAGTCATTGCCATGCCCCCGAATCCTCAAGCTAAGCCTTCAGATGTTCCAACATGACTCCTGGCAGAAAGAGCTGCTACTTCTCAGTGTCAAAAGGGTCCCAAGGACTGAACGCAGGCTCCGAAAAGAACAGACCGCCAGTGGACTTTAGGCACTAAAACACAGCGGTAGCAGTCACTAGCAGGAACAACTGCAGCGGTTGCTTGACTACAACACCCTGTCCCACCCTCGTCCACATGCAAAAAGCCACCCCGGCCAACTCTGCCAATTGATGTCCCAAGGATCGCTATATCCGCTGAAGGACAACGAGATGCCCGCGACCGTGCTGGCACAGTTGGCGGCCAGCCCAGCCAGACGCGCGGCGTAGTACTCTTCGGTCAATCGATCCGCCAGGGAGGCTTGCCACAAGCGAGCAAGCACTCGGCCCTGAGGGAGGAGGTTGGGGGACACGACTCTGAGGACACAAGCAAAGTTGGCGCTCTTGATTTGGGTCCGGAAAAGGAAGGTCGGTCCTGCTTTTTTTTTGAGACAGACGAATTCCTCTATGAATCAACAATGGATGGATCAAAGGTGTCAATGTCATTGGCCAGGTTGAGACCAATGACCACAAAGCGGCTGAAGGACCATCGGATCAGGTGTAGGGCAAAGCAGCACAGGAGAAAGAATTGAAAACCTCGACTGGCTAAGAAGCTACTAGGAACAAGTGCCACGCTAGTAGGAACAAGTGCCACGCTACTAGTAACAAGTGCCTTACTAGTAGTAACAAAAAGCTAATAGAAACAATATAAATTACAAACAATAATCCCTCTCCCAAGACGTCAGCCCACGAACAGTTTCCACAGATCCAGCGGAGCGCGCTCCGTCCTCGGCCGTGCTGATGCTGGAGGCCGGCGTGTTGCTCTTCACTTCCGAAGGGTCGGGAAACCAACACTGCAAGATGCAAGTGGCCTTTGGAATGCCAAAAGCCCTGTCTGCCTTGAAGAACACCCGCCATCGCTCCTCAAATGGGTGACTCGTTTGCCTCTGCGGCATAGAATTCGAACAAGCGTGTAATACCACACTTATTCCAACTCGCTTGCATTGTTGATCAGATCCCAAGCTCTCCAGACTAGTACCTGTGCATCTACTTCTCTAACGGGTGATTAAACAACGGGCGAGTCAGATGCTGTGGGTCAAAAACGGGTCATTGAAGGCTCGATTCTATATCAATAGTGAAAGGATACAGAATCCTTGATGAGTCTCTACGAGTATGTTTACGGACTGTTCCCTTTCTCCTGAACCCGTCTGCGGCTGCCAAGCGTCATCGTTCCGGATCAGCTCTGGTGGCAACGCAGCAGCTTTGATGCGGTCCTGCTGTGGCCAGGCCAGTGCGAAGTTCTGAGGGATGAACCTGAACGAGCTGACTGCAAATCCACTGTTGTCCCCTGTTCACCCACTGCTTTAAAGAGTAATCTCCCAGAGCCCTATGTCAATTATGTTCAGGGTCCTTAATGATATAATGCGTATTTTTCGTCATTGGAAGGCTTGGGACCGGACCTTGCCTCTCGCCATTGGTCTCTGAACTTCAATACAATTTGTATTCTTGTGACTCTTTTGAGTGCTAGCTGAAATCGCCGAGTTCGCGAGTACTTAAACAATCTTTAACATGTGTGGGAAACAAGTGCGAGGGGAAGCCACCCGAATTGACACAAATCACCAACATAAGATGATGCCTTTGGGCGTCGCTATCACGCAAATCTTCGCGCTTGGATTGCGCGCTTGTATACTTCGAGCGGATGAAATACAAGTTTGGTCCTACGAGTATTTGACAAAACTAGAGGCCTGAAACAAACTTGTGCGATGCGTGGGAAGCCTTGGGAAACGTTCCAGGCATTCTGTTCTTCCTGCGCCGTGCTCCTAGTGTTGGAAAAGTTTGGGCACCTCCCAACAAACTCAAGAAAAGAAAACAGAAAAACTGCACATGCTCAGCAATCAGCTTAACTGACTTCTTAAAGTCAAGAAGCTGTACAGTACAACACTCCTCCCTCCAAATCCGGACCTGGCGCGATCATGGGCTCCTCTAGACAATCGACGTTTTCCAAACAACCCACGCCATCCCACACCCAACGACGGGTCTGGTCAGTCGTCTCGGAGCACAAGGATGCACAAGGGACTTGTTGGGGTCTGGCACATGCCAGCCCGGAAGTATTGGTGCTTTGCTCCACCCTGGAACGCGGGCGAACGAGGGTGAAGGGGTGGACCTTGGTGGAAGGAAGATCTGGCAACAAGTAGGGAAGCAACTTTGGAACTTCAACCCAGACAACGTCAAGAGAATATTGGGAGCTTTGGATAGACTTGGATCTTAGACTTCAACAAACTTTGAAAATGAAAGTTACACCCAGGTCCAAGCATGTTCTCTTACAAGATCTTACAAGTGTCCAGCAATGAACAAATCCAGCAATCTCCAGCCTTGCAGAACACTTTTCGGAATCTCGGTCTGTCGATACGGCACTCCATACCATTTCTCGCTTTGCTTGGGGGCCACGTCCTTGGCGAAGACCCGATAGCGTGCGCGCTCGGGCGTCAGCTGCTCCAAGATGTGGTCGATGGCTTTCAGCAAGCTGCCCCCGCTGGGGCCGTCGCCCGGAGGATCCAACAGCAGAAAACGATTGCTCAGGTAGAAGGCGGGCGAAAGGCCATCCTGCGGTTTGGTGCAGGGGCTTCGTGCAGGAAGTGCATGGATGAGCGAGTCCACCAATGCTCTTGAGTTGTAAGCGTCATGGAGCTGACAACCTGAAAATTGCTTGTTGCTGTGGGTTTGCTTGTGATGTTCTTCACAGATCTTCACAGAGCTGCAGATTCAGATCCATGATCCTTACTAGACCTTTATTCTTTTTTATTCTCTCACTCACTCGAATCTCGAGCATGTTCTGTGGCAAGCTAGTTTCGCGGGCCACACAACACTAAAATACAATCACGGAGACCAAAAATGTGGCAGACGGAGCGAGCCGAGCGAACGCGCCACCCCAAACTGAGACCGCAAGTCGGCAGCCACCCAAGAAGAGAGAGCAACCCGACCAGAGCACCCAGACAACGCGAAGGCAGAACCCAAAGCCACACCAGAGTCCGTCGCAGAAACATTGCCCCAACCCGGCAACAAACCCCGCAGACACCTGACACCGCGCCACCAAGTAGCAAACAGAACACGCACACAAGGCAGACAACACACAACGTCCGGAGCGTCCAACGAATCAACCCATCTACCATCAACCAACACAGGCGGAAGGGTGCCGGAGTCAGAAACCCACTGCCAGAATAGTTCCAGCCAAGAAATCTCCCAACACTCCTCATCAACTGTAGAAAGCGACCAACGGAGTGTAGCCAACCAACCCGACAAATTACGCAGAAAACGCAAATGAAAACCAGCCTGGACAATCAAAGGAGAAGGAATCCACTCAACTTCACCAACCTCGACAGAAAAGGGGCGACCAGCCTCCGACCGAACCGGAGGCATCTTCCGCGTCACGGCAAATACCCATTATCCCCATTATCCCCATGCCCCATCTTCTTGGCATAACTTGGCATCCCATACCCCCCCGTCCTCGCCCTGCCCTGCACCTCCCAGTGCAAAAAGACGGTCAGACTGGCCACCCGCGAGTCACGTCCTGCATCAGATCCACCGCATCGAGGCAAAGCGGTTGCGAGTTCAGCTTCTCCGCGAAGCGCCACCGGAGCTCCGCCAGGCTGCGGCACTCCTGGGGTGGGCTCCGAGGGCAGCGTCGAGACAAGAAGAGGACAACAGAAAGAGGCTTTAGATGCTTTAGTTGGTTGTCTTGTTTTGGGGAATGGAAGTGAAGAGGATGCAACAAAGACAATACGGAGAGAGTAAGCATGCACGTTGAAGTTTGGTAACAAACAAGTGTAGATGGAAAATTGGGATGTTACTCAGCACCATCGGCGGGCTTGCATCAGGTTGCATCCATTCTGATTTGGAACCGCATTGACAGTAGGGCAAGGACGCTACTAGTAACAAGTGCATCGCTACTAGCAACAAATGCCTTACTAGTAGTAACAAGAAGCTATTAGAAACAATATATAAATTAGAAACAATAAGCTACTAGTAACAAG